TCTCTCTCTCTCTCTCTCTCTCTCTCTCTCTCTCTCTCTCAGTAACCAAAAATGGTACACCAGTACACGCGTACACCAGCAATCCTGTAATCCCATATGTGTCCCTAGACTTCCTCTTATCATAATTTCTCACAGATGTTCAGGGAACGTAAACTCAACAAATGTTATCAAGCCATTCAAAGCCCATTTTCTGGGTATGACCATAAAGGTATCCCCCCAAAAAGAAGAGGAACCAGATGAGGGTCTAGAAAGGAACATGAATGATTAAAAAGCAAATGGTAAGATACACATGGCTGTATAATTAAGGATGACACCACTTATCTGTCAGTTTGTCATACTGAGGTGACTATGGTGTTGCTGTGATGCTGGGAGCAATGTCACTGGCATTTCAAATGCCAGCAGATGTCACCCAAAGTGAGCAGAGCTTCCTGACTAAAAACACTACCAAGAATGAATAGGCAGTCCCCTTCACAGGAATTAGCCACTAAAAATGTTATGCATAGCACCCACACATTGTTAGATGCTGAAGGGCTAGAGAATAGAAACAGCACATTGCCCACGATAGTGGCAGAAGATGAGGCCCTGTACTCAGAAGGCAAAATATAACTGAGGAAGAGAGGCTTTCTCAAAGTCAAGTCAACTATATTGATAGGAATGGAGTACAGCTTTCAGGACCTTCATTGGCTTATGGGGCACAGCACAAAATTGGAAGAAACAACTGCAAAAACAGGAGAAATTATGAGGATGCTGCAGAATTGGACAGTGTTTTGTTCTGTTGTATAAAGGATCACTGCCTCACTGTGAGGCAGACTGACTCCATGGCCCCTAAGGACAGCAACAGTACCAGAATCAAAGGGCATTGGTGTGACTGTGGAGTCCTGGCAGCTTCATGAGTTATGTGTTGGGCTGCTAACCCCAGGTCAGTAGTTCGAGCATACTAGCTGCTCCTCAGGAAAAAGAGGAGACGCGAGGCTCCCAGAGAGATTTACAACCTTGGCAAACCCAAAGGGCAGTTCTACTATGTCCTATCAGGTTGCTCTGATTTGGAATCAACTTGACAGCAGTGTGATTTCTTTTGGTGGCCCTGTGAGTTAAGCATTGTACTGTTAATCTCAAGTTTGGAGATTCAAAGTCACCAAATACTTTGAGGGTAAAAGATGAGGCTGTCTCCTCCAGTAACAATTTATAGCCTCAGAAACCCTATTCTGGGACCCTAGCAGTCTGATAGACTGGGTGACAGTGGATTTGGTTTAATATAATTAACAATGTGTTCCACTTTTACTATATACTATTACATATTTCCTGTAGTACTTTTTTTTAATGGTCTTGTTTTCAAAACAGAAAATAAATTTATTTAAAATGTTCTGGCTATTTTAAAGATAATTTAAATCCCAAAGCATGAAAAATAGGTAGTGGTGAGATATTAATTTAAAAATGTAGAGCCATTAACCAGGCTTAAATTAAATTAGCCTGAGAGGTTTAAATGTATATGTTTTCAGACTTGATCTTCCTTCATGAGAAGTATGTTAGTTAACATTTTAAAATGAAATGCATCAATATTTCAGAATATTCCATAGAGCACATAATGATTGTGCAAGATTTGTGATTTCTTTGCCACATGAAGAAATTTGTCATAGCAGTGCTAGGAGTGGAATCTATGCACATTTCCTGAATTCAAGTACTTTCCAGGCCTTTGAAAGCACCCTCTCCCCATTTCCTGACTGGCCCTGACTACATACCTCACCTTTGAATACTTTCTTGCATCTTCTCCATCGTTCCCACCATGTCTTAGACATGCTTCTTTTATAAAATATATTATTATATAAATACAGGGATACACATGGTAGACAACTAAAAGGAGGTGGGGAAAGAAATGGCTAGCGGGGCACAGGGCACTAACCCACCCAAGTGGAGGGTATTGTTTATATCCTCGCAGGGAAAGAGGGACCAGACTTCAACCCAGTGCTCCAAGATGTGAATGCAACATGCCGCGATGGAGTAGAGAACCAGTGGAGAGGTCTGGGGGACCGGCCCCAATCCCAACTACTATGTGGACACCTGCCCCTCCCACCAGAAGAATTTATTTCAAAGGACGGCATTGAATCTGTAGCTCCAGGAGAGAGACATATCTGATCAGATCACACGGGAGCAGCTGAAGGGGGAGGAGGAGAGAGTGGAGCATATCCTGGCCCACCAGGCCATGAGGACGATGTTCCCAATTAGAGCAGCCAGTTCACATAGAGGACCACATGGCCGGCCCCACTATGAAACATGACGCCCCTCACTGACCCATAGTCCTGCAGGGGACAACAATGGAGACACAGTGTAGGAATTGCACCGATCTGATCCAGCCACACCGAGGCAAAACACTAAGGGGGTGCAACAGAATAGCAAGTGAATGCAACAGAATAGCAAGTGAATGGAGCCGCAAAGTCCCCGGGGAATGGTGAAGGTGGACTTTGGGACCAGGGCGTGGTGCCTCAACAGACTGGACTGGAGAACACTCCTAAAGGCCAACAAACAATCCTTCAACTAACTACAAGCTTTTCTTTCTTATTGTGTTTTGTTTTGTTTTATGTCATTGGTTTGTTGTTATTGTTTTGTTGTATATTGTTGCTTGGTTTTGCTATGTCTTGTTTTTGTGCATGTTATTATCTCTGCAGATCTGTCTAAATCAGATAGGCTGGATGAACAATCTGGAGGAGAAAACAACAGGACTGACAGTTCCAGGGTGACGTGGGAGAAGGGGAGGTGGGGGGAAAGGAAGTGGTGTTAACAAACCCAGGGACAAGGGAACAAGTGATCCAAATCGGTGGTGAGGAGGGTGTGGGAGATCTGGAAGGATATGATCAAGGGTAATGTAACCAAGAGGAATTGCTGAAACCCAGGTGGGGACTGAGCATGATAGTGGGACAGGAGGAAAGTCAAAGGAAATAGAGGAGAGAGCTGGGAGGCAAAGAGCTTTTATAGAGGTCTAGATAAAGGAATGTGTATATGCAAATATATTTATATATGAGGATGGGGAAATAGATCTATG